GGTTGGGAAGTGCTGTAGGAAAAAAATTTAAGTACAAGTTAGAATTATCTTAACACAAAACATAAAATTAACATATAAGAAAATTAATTATTTTCATTGTAAACTTCTTATATGACCAATCTTGATGGACCATTATTGGGCGTTATTGATGGTCGATATTCAGTGCAGTCAGACTCAATAGGTCGGTTTGATACTTACATGACGATGGAAGAAGACCCTTCCATCATATTTGCAATGTCTTCATCATCATCAATACATATCATATTACTGTTACTTGGTAACCTTAGGTCAATATACCTAATAGTCATGGTACTTGGGGAATAATTTGATACTTTTGACAAGTGATCTGTACTTGGTCAAATGATGGGATCCCTTTAAAAAATATAACCTTCACGTCCCTACCATCATAGAAAATACATCTATCATTAGAATTCCTCTTAAAAAAACCACCAAAGTGTAAAACGATTTTCACTATGTTGTCTCCCATTATTGTTGCGTACAAGCTCAATCACTGCATAGAAATTTCAGATGGAAACAAATATAAAATACTTACAAGAAGTTTCAAAATACTTACATATAATGAAGATGTTGCATTATAGAGGGACATTAAATTGCAATACAGATGCCAAAATATAAATAAAATTACAATGGCCAATCCAACTACATCAAGTATTATAGAAAAATATTATTTTGATGGTCAACCATTAAATAAGTCTAAAACTTATTTATGCAATAATATAAATAAATCTAAAACTTATTTATGCAACAATATAAATAAATCTAAAACTTATTTATACAATATTTTAATCAAACTATATAAAGTACTATAAAAACAACATAATATATTGATGACATACCTATATAAAATGGTGTTGGTGTGTATATTTGATGCTCTCAAAGACCTCGTTCCAAGATTGATATATAATAGATGATAAGATGAAAATGGATGAGAGATATAGAAAATGGATGGGAGAGGGACGAGGCTAAGAACAAAGAAAATGCTAAAAAAATTATGAAAATAGGGTATTATGCAAAAAAATGGTAAAAAAAAGAAAAGGCGGGAGAGCATTACGGTTATTTTAATACCGTATAATATATGAAAAGTATTACGGTAGTTCGAGTGCCGTAATTGAATGTTATTACTTTACGGTAATTAAAGTACCGTATAAAATATTCTAAGAATTGCGGTAAATAAATTACCGTATAATGTTCTAAGAATTGCGGTAAATAAATTACCGTATAAAATTTACTAGTCATTACGTTATATAAATTACCATACTGTTCTTCACGATAAAAAGATTACCGTGAAGGTCATTTTCATCCAAAGGTCATTTTCATCCAAAACAACTCGAAAATATTGAAAAAATATGTAGATGAGGTTTTTAAAAGGATGGGGTTTTTTTTCCACCAAATGAGAATCATAACGATATGTAGATGAGGTTTTTAAAAAGATGGGGTTTTTTTTCCACCAAATGAGAATCATAACGATGAAGCGACGATGAAGTGCTTAACCTATCTTTGGTAGGAACTTCTTCAATGCTTTTAGTGTACACTCAAGGGCACCAACCAAGGCATTCCTCACGGGCGGCGCTTGCCACGTTACCCAACTGTTTATTTTGTACTCCGTATTTCTATTAATATGTGAAGATGTGGGACTATTTTCCTTCGCCCTTGTCTCTTGAGCATCTAATTGGGGTGAATAAACTAATGGCATTAAGCGGCAGTGTGAAAATACTAATACATTAGGATGAAAGTACACTATCTTTTTGCACAATAAATTGTACAATCTATATGATATGTGATCCAATATTTTTTTATTTTTTAATTTTCTAAATTTTGATATCCGTATTTTTCATTTTTGAGGGGAAAAATCTTCTCTTGAATATTTGTTTTGAACATAATTGTTTAAGTTTAAATGGTGGGGTTTGTACAAGGAGGTCAACCTTAAATAATTGAAGAAAGGTGCGTCTCAAAACTATGCCGAAAGATGTAATCTCGGTGTCGGAAAGACTTGCAATGTCATGAAAAAGCTATTGCTAACCCGATTTATGAAATTTAAAGATCCAAAAATAGTGGCGATCATGTTGATCTATAAACACTTGAATATCTTTAAAATGGTCGGTCTAGATGCGTTAAAAGCCGAAATATGCTTAGGATTTGAAATCCTTCTTTTCTTTTTCTTTTTTTGGTATCCATGAATCTTGAGGTCAAAGTAATTAATTTGAAGGTTTTTAAACCTTAGAGCGACCTTATTTTAGTTTTGTAGAATGATCATATAATCATCTCTTCTTTTCTTTTCATTTTTTTCTTCTTCTCGCGGTTGACCCTTTAAACTTCTCGTGGCAAAGATCTCTTATTCTCTTTCAGTTGGTTTCTTCAATTGGATTGGAAATGTGTGGTCTACGGACTTTCCTACTTTACTAATTAAGCGTATGCAATTTGAAATCTGACATATAAGCAAATATATGTGGAAAATAGGACTGGCCAAGAGTGAAACCCCAATTAGTATTGTGTAAGATACAAATAAGTATAATACCCATTGGTGTGCATGTTCACACTTGGTTAAGCATACACAAAAGAGCATCAACATTAATATTTTGGCATTGTATACGATGAGATCATTTATCTTTGGTACAGAGAAGTCACAATTACTTATTACCATCTGATGTGAAATCTGATAGCTTGGGTGTTTATAAAGTTCGAAAAAATTTCTTTTGAACTTTGAATTTGGTCAATGAAATAAATGCAGTCACCCAATTTCACATCCAATGGTCAAGATTAATTGTGACCATTTAGGGAAATGTTCTCTTTATATACTTTCCGTTATATTTTATGTACTGCATTAATATTATGTTTCTTAACATTGCTGTTGTGCATCCTACGTCCCATAATGTTATACTTGACTCTTTGCGGGAGGAAAGCATCAACCTTTGCGAATTCATGGTGACACCCTAAGAATCTGGCGAATATTGTAGTTCCCGACACGAGGCATCAATTGAGTCCATAATTAAAAGTTGATTGTGACTCGTCCTTAACAAAAGATTCAAATTAGGTGCAACAGAATCGAATTGGGCTCGTCTGTTTCCACTCTGTAACAGTAATTGTTGCTAGCCGTTCATGGGGTTTGTGGTGCGTTGAGATCTTAGAGTGAGGTGCTCCCAAAGATCAAGCATCCACAAAGCCCAAAACCAGTGGTGTTACTGTTACTGTTAATGATGCTTGATGTTTGATGTTGCATTTCTTCATTAGAAATTGCCTCAAAAAAAATCACGCCGATCCAATTTTTGCACTGCCAAACCTTGGCGGATAAGAACTCAAAATTAAAGTATGGAAACTCATCTCCGTGAAGATACTCGGGCCTTGGCTGCGGCAAGTAACTCAGACCAGTTCCAATGGACAAGCTATGTACCAAAACAAAAGAAAAAAAGTAATGATAATTTTTTTTAATGGTTAAAAATAACAAAAAAATCAAAGAGGCAATAGAAAGGTTGGAAGACTAAAAAGATAAAATGGATCTATGAAATACGGATTATTTGAACATTTTCATTTTTAAAATTAGAATATTTCATGAAATTTTAAAAAAGTGAAGAATTATGAAAGTTCTAAAGTCATCTTAAAACCTACCTAAACGATCAAAAAACTTGTTTCTAACAAATATAGTACTGTTTTTTCAATTTTCCTACAATTTTTTCAATTTTTTTTACACTTCTTACAACACTTATAATGGCGGGGCGAGTTGCTGTGGATCACACCCCCTACCCCGCCTCATCCACTTGGTGAGTCCTAGTAACTTGCTCGAGCAAACTTGGACTCAGGCAAGTCATGGAATGCAGCTAAAATTCCTTTATGTTCTTTTTTGAAACAAACAGAGGAATATTACTTCATGTAATCTCCTTCTTTTGGCAAAGTTGTACGGGAAACATCGATTGATGCTTCACGCAATCACAGTTGATGGCCCAGTGCCTGTTCTTTATTTTGCTTTGTTAAGAAGTTGGGATCTCCATCCCTGTATTTTGCTTTGTTAAGAAGATTAGTGTTTCCGCATCGTTTTTCAAGGAATGGAACAATCTATTTTTATTCATATTCACATTTTCTCTAAAAATGTAAATGAGTTTGTTGATTTCTCTCTCAGGATATAATTGGTTTGGGATCTCCGTAGAGAGAGAGAAAAAGGGCAAAGATAAGAGAGAAACCAACAAATCTATTCACATTTTTAGAGCGAAACCAAAATATTTATTTATGTTTTTGGAGAGAGAACTTTCAAAAGAGAAACCAACAAATTGATTCACATTTTTTAGAGTAAATGAGAGATACATGAATATGAATAGAGAAATAGGCTTAGAGAGAGAGAGAAGATAAAGGGGAAAGGGGAAAGAGATGGAGAGAAATATAAATGGCTATTTTGACTTTTATAAGATTTATTAACGAGAGCAATTTTGTTACAAATAAAACTGCAAAGCATAAAAGAGCGATAAATTTAAAGGGAAAGGCTTCTAAACTTCCCCTACAAAGTTGAAAGTGAAGATATATACTTCCCCCATCCAGCTGTCTAATTTAGATCAGGTGAGCCACTCATTGTTTCAACTACATTCGATGCTTCAGAGTATTTTATCTTTAAGTTTGTTCTATAAATTGTATGAAACTAAAATTTGGTAGTGTCATATTCTAAATGGGACACACCTAAAAAAAATATTAAATACAATTTTCAATAAAATATAATGACCAAAATACCTCTTCAAACATTCAAAGGTATTTTGGTTATTTTATTTTATTGAGAATATTTGTTTTACTATTTCGAGTTTAAGAGAGGAGTAGATCCTCAAAATTTGGTATCAAAATCTTTTGTAAGAACATTAAAAATAAAATAAGGAGAGGTGGCATTGTGATTGGGACCATCTCAACCGTCCATTAAATTAGAGGGTTGGATATAGGGAAGTATATAAGTTTTAGGAATTAGAAAAAGCATAAAAAACCGGCCCAAATGTAAAAATGAAGGATCAAGAAGCAACAGTACGAGAGACTCTTCAAAAGGGAGCATAAGGGGGAGAAGAAAAGCCAAGCTGGGAACAAGTTCAATAATTTCCCTACATAAACCACTTCATCTTAAGTCTCTGCATCGCCATTTCTCTCTCTGTTGATCGTCCTCCCTTGCAGTTAAAAAACCGAAGAAAGGTAGCACGGTCTGAAAGACCCAGCACCAAATGACTGAGGAATTGAACAAGCCGGGAGAGAAGCAATGGACATTAGAAATTAGCAATGTGGCCAAAGACAAGACGAACTGGGAAACTCACTGCATTTACAAAGTTCCCGATTTCATGGCCGACTTGCACAAGGGAGCCTTCACTCCCTTGCTCATGTCCTTCGGCCCCTTCCACCACGGTAATTCCCGTTACCGTGGCATGGAAATTCACAAGGCCAGGGCCCTCCACCGCTTCCTCGATCGCAGGCAGAAACCTCGCGAGTACTTTGAAAATGCCCTTCGAAAGGTGGAGCATAAGCTCTGGGCTTGCTATGACTGGCCTCCCGACTTTGCCTGCCTGGATCAGGCCAAGTTCTTGGAGATAATGCTCTTGGATGGCTGCTTCCTGTTAGAGTTTCTCAGAGAGGATGAGGAGAATGACCCTATATTTGGCAAGAAAAAGGCAGAGTATGTGTACCAAGTATTCAATGACATGCTGCTGCTCGAGAACCAGATACCTCAACTGGTACTAGAGACTCTGCTCGAACAGTCGCCGAGAGGCTTATACGACGCGATAAAGGGGTTGGAGAGGCTGTATCACATGGACAAGGCACAGGGGAAGATCATGTTGGAAGGGTTCAAGGAGATGGGTGCGCTGCATTGGTTGGACAAGGAGAGGCAGACCAAGTGGGAAGGCATAAAAGGGCCCGAGGGGCTCAAGGAGAAGCCGAGGTTTTTCAAGAGAATGTGCGAATGGATAAAGAGATTGTGTGGGGTCCCTCTGGTTCAAGAGGAGCAGAGTAAGGAGAATGAGAGGGAGACGCAGTCCTTTATCAAGCGGCTCACGACCACGAATCTTGACGAGGCCGGGGTGAACTTAAAAAAGAGCAGAACACGAGCCTTCAAGGACGTGAGTTTCAGTCATGGGGTACTGCGCATGCCGGCTCTAATCGTCGACGACCACACGGTTAGTTCAAATTTGAGCTCTGGGAGAGTTCAATGGGTTATTATCTTCCCACTCTAATTTTCTTCCTTTACTTTCATCCATTGAAATTATTGTAGAAAAATAATTAGCTCAAAATGCAAATGGAACTGCTATTATATTTTTCAAGTTTATGTGATATGCTTTTGCAATTTTATTTTTTATAATATTCCAAAATAATATTTACACATGACTTAACTATTATATGGGATTGTATATAATGACACCGTTTACCTTTGGTGCAGAGAGTTCATAATTACTTATAACCATCCAATGTGAAATTTGATAACTTGGGTATGTCACAAAGTTCAAAAAAAATTCTTTTTTGAACTTTTAGCTTTGTCAATAAAATGAATGCATTCACCGAATTTGACATTCAATGGTCAAATATTAATTGTGACCACCTTGTAGCAAAGGTGAATAGTCTCATTATATACGTTTACATATTATATTTACTAGTTTACTTAGTACTAGGTTAGAACGCAATATAATTGAGAACACAAAAAATTATTTATTATCTAATAGAAGCGCATAAGATCTATCCAATTCTCTCTCTTTTATAAACCCTTTTTATAAACAAACTTTAAGCTTTTCAGAAAGTACTATTTTATTTAATAATTAATATTCAATACATATGAATATCACTAGTTTAATTTACATAAATGATTGCCTTACCGAAATAAGAGAAATGACATTTGGGGTTATGTAATTTGTACCTGCCTGGTGTAGGGATCCGAGCTTTTGAACTGTATGGCGTTTGAACAGCTGCAAGTAGGTATTGAAACAAAGGTCTGCTCATATGTGGCCTTTATGGAGCAACTGATAGACACAATCAAGGACGTAGAGTTACTTGAGAAGGCAGGTATAATAGAGAACTACTTAGGGAGTCAGGAGAAATTGGCAGAGGTCTTCAATGGCATCTGCGATGGGATTACGGTTGAGGATGATTTTCTTCGCGGTGTGAGGATTCAGGTGAAAAGGCATTGCGACCGACGATGGAACAAGTGGCGAGCTTACTTTGTGCACACCTATTTCAGGAACCCATGGACGGTTATCGCGTTTATTGTAGGACTCCTCATCACTGCACTCACAACCCTTTCAACAGTCGTTTCGCTACTCCGATACTTCGCCATATCCCACCCTTGATGATCCTCCTGTCGTTGTTCAGATGTAAAGCCCTTGCTGTGGGTTTAATCTACATGTCTCGTTAAAGTGTGTTTGTTTGTGTGTGAAAGAGTGTTAATGGGCATCTGCATGTTGAGTTATTTGATGCCTTTAGAGTCTCTATGTCAAAAACATATAGAGAGAATAGATGGGTCAATGAAAAGGAAGAATTTCGATACCTTCTCAAAATGTATTTTCACTTTTTTCATGATAGTTGAGATTCTCGGCCCCCAAATTTTCGAATCCAAAATCCATCTATAAGATACCACAACGTTCCTGTCATTTAATTTGCGACGAAAAGAAAAAGTATGAAACTGGGACCTGTAATTTCTTTCCGCTTGGCCAAAGAGTTCCAGATCATGGCGTTTTAATTTCTTTCCTCATGGTCTAGGAATCAGAGCTCTTGAATTACACGGCCTTCGAGCAAATGAACCAAAATTGCCTGGTATGTGTGTTTTATGGACGACCTCTATCGACACGGTTGATGACACAACGTCTTGAGCATGCCAGTATAGTAAAGGACTGCCTGCTCACCTTGCGACACAACTAAATTTCCTCAATGGTACTGTTTCTCTTTTACCGAAATCTCCCACGCTCTCTCTTATGCAGATCAAGATGTGATTGCTATAGTTTTATTTCTAGAGATATCGGTAGATTTTTTGTTTATTTTATTAAAGTTAATTTTAAGAAATAAAATTAGTATGGTGTTTTTTGCATTAGTTAAGTAGTATGTATTTTTTAGGAAGTTAAGTCTTTTTTTTGGGTATAAACAAATACTAAAATGACATCCTATTCAAACTCCATCTCTCTCTCTAAAAACTCCA